CCATGTGTATTCACTGTAGGCTGGCAGTGCTACTCTGTTAGACGCTAATTAATTGCCACAGAAATCTATGTTAGGAAGGTGTTAAATGTTGGGAGCAAATAGCAGGAATTTTAAAGTAAATGGTATTCCAATTACCTTCCAAACAGTGGTAACTTAGGAAATTCCAAATAAAATTTGCAAGACTTCCAAATATGTTAAACCACAGGAAATTACAGATAGTGCATTTAATATTCTCTAATCCGTAATTTATACTGCATTAGTGACAAGCAAAAAATGACTGATTATGATCAGTGTATAGAGAATTAAATTAAACCAAACCTTTATGTGAACTGTGGAAGGGAAGAGGAAAGGCAAGAAAACTCATGAATCGAGATAAAGACAGTTTAATAAGTGAAGGAAAGAGAGGGGGAAAAAAACCACAACAAAACCCATGAAAACCCAAGCGATGCAAAGGCAGTCACTCACCACCTCCCACAAGCAGACCAATGCCCAGACAGGCTCTAAGCAATTTCTAATGATGAAGGTGGCTAACAATCATTTTCGTAGCTTAGAGGCACATTTCCAGATAGAATTAAAGGTGGCTTAATTGACTTCAAATCTCAGATGTTTCACAGCATTTCTTACATGTAATACAATCAGTATCAACCATTCCTTCAGGACTGGCAGTGGTTTGAATACCCTCATACAGCAATGGTTCACATACTGTTATCACCTTTTGCATTAAGAGAACTATAGTCTCAATGAGTAAAGTAACTTTTCCTCATGCTTGTGAATCAAACTGCCAGTAATGAACTTTTTGGATCTCTCATTTTAATGATAACACTCAGGTCAACATCAACCAGTGGCAAGGGACACAGGTGAAATCTTGTTTAACGTGAAACTATTTCAATTATCCAATTATCTTTGTTACATTTTTCCTTGCTTACTCTGTTTAAGAGATACAATTTAGAATAACATTAAACTACGGTAATCACCAAATCTACCAGGAACAATGCAGAACGTATTTTCACCAAGCTACTGAATAGGTAACATGTAACAGTACCACTTTCTGTTAAGATATGCAAGTTTGCACAGACAAGCTTAGAGAAGCCACACCTGGGTACCGTGGCTTGCACACTGCATCATTTATTTCCAGAACAGCATGACAAATGCTTTTGATATGCTATCTTCCATAGGCTAAGTTAGGGATTATTCAGTAATAAAGATGCGCAAGCCTGACTTCTGGAGGGCTTGCTAATGTTACTTCCAATCTGGTTTACTCTGACATCTATTTTATCATTTAAGACTTATTTGGTGTGCCTTCTGTTTTTGAATATCTGAAGTCTCAACCCATGAATTACAAAGCAATTGCTCGGGTCTCTAGCTGAATTTAGCACAGTGCGAGCAAATTAACTGTAAGCCAACTTGAATATGCCCTTTTCCAAGGATCCACCAGCCTCCTGGCTATTCTGCCTGGTGCCTGGCAGCCATTCCTGCCCCAGGAAACCTTGGCAGAGCATCCCCCTGCCCCAGCTGCATCATGCTGTCCCTAGGCTCTGTTGGTTTTCTGTGCTGCCTTACCAGCACATCACAGCCCAGCTCTGAGATGTCAGTGTGGCTGAGGAAGCCCTTTGTTTCCTCACAGCACTTTATAGCTTATCTAAGAAGCAAGCTCTCTTCACTAATTTAACATTAGTGATAATATGTGGGTTTTATTTTTTTCAGTTAGAATTGCGCTGTTTACAAAAGCTATTATGAATGTGGAAGTTTGATTATGGAATTAACACCTATTTAAATTTAAAAATGCTCTTCATGCACTATGTCACTGTTTCTTACTTGTAGCTCAATTAGATTATGATGTTCTCTTTCACAGCTACAGAAACAAGCATGATTATTTTCTTTACTGTTTTTTTATTGTATCTCATTCTTTGATCTACAGAATTTTTTTAAGTAATTTTCTGTGTTACTTTTACAAAATTAAGAATCCTAACAGCTACTTAAATTAGTGTCTAACTAACTTAAATTGTTTTCATATGTAGTTGACTGAGAACAGAAGTTGTAATGATGGTTAAAGAACATTTAATTGCTTCAGCAAAATAGTTAAGGTTTTCTGCTAATAATAAAATCTACTGCAAGTATTCATGAATATTAAAGTCTTAAAGAATCCACAAAATATCCCATGAAGTACCAGATTTGTGTGCAGAAAATATAAATGAGGCTATATTATTTCAGTTATATATATACATTCAGTTAATAAAATATACACACTAAATTCTGGTAAAGACAATTTGTTATCTCGTAACGCTAATTAGCTCCTCAGGATTGGGTTCTCAGCAGGGCAACTAAACAAAAAAATTTGCATGTGCAATTTCTGGGTTTAATGTTTACAACAAATGAGAAAAAGATGACTGTAGGATCTTTCTGCATAATCCCAACCTCCCATTTTACTTTACAACACAATTGTAATGACCAACATAAAACAAAGAATTTACACTGTCATCTCTGCTACTTTACAGCCTAATTGTTACTGTTCATTGAAGCACACAAAAGTGACAGTTCTGGTACTCACTATTCATGGAATTTAATAATAAAAATCCATTAGTGTTAGGACTATGACTTTACTCCCAGAAATACAAAGGAAATTTTACAGCAAGAGTGCTGTAACCCTTTACTACAGCAACATCAGAGGAGAGGTGACACTATAAAAGAAAAGAAAATTCCTCACTGTTTCTCAAAATAGCCCAAAGCCTCAGCCAGTATATTGGCTAGAAAGGATATGTGCAAGAGAGGTTCTTCAGTGTTAGGTCCAACGTTAATTGCGTTTCATCACCTCCATTACTATTCCCCAAATAAGAGTGATTTAATCTTGTTTTTGCCATCTAACTAAATCTGTCTCTGTTAGGTCACTATTGAAAATTATTTCAACTAACAGGAAAGGCAGAAATGAGTATCTGGTATTCTCAACATGTCCTCAAGTCTTATTTCAGGTCAACGTGGAGAGTGCAGCAGCAGAATTACACACAGTCGCAGACACTCTGGCTTACATTAGAACTACCAAAATGAAAGCTTGCCTTGAGAGGAAAGGGGGCAACTCAGCCTACACAACAGGACTACCAATGAGAGCAAAGAGAACACAACTCTCATCAAGACATTACTGAAACAACTTAATACTTCAATCAGAGTAGGAACATTAGAAATATCTCTACTATATCACGATGGTGTAGTATTGGTACAAATTGCACCTATGAACATCAAGGGTCCGCAACGTATTTTTGAACGTACAGGAATAGATAGGATAAGATGTGATCTGATATGTATATGTAATTTGTATGAGTGCCATCCTACACCTACACAGAGTACCAAATGTGAAGACGTAAAGAGCTGTCTACCTAAATCACCATCAGAGACTGAGGTGTGAGTAGCTGTAGGTTAAAAATTATAGAATCATAGGATGGTTTGGGTTGGAAGGGACCTTAAAGATCATCTAGTTCCAGCCTCCCTACGATGGGCAGGGACACCTTCCACTACACCAGGTTGCTTAAAGCCTCATCCAACCGGGCCTTGAACACTTCCAACGATAAGGCATCCACAGCTTCTCTGGGCAACCTGTTCCAGTATTTCACCACCCTCATTGTAAAATATTTCTTCCTTAGATCTAATTGAAATCTCCCCTCTTTCAGTTTAAAGCCATTGCTCCTTGTCCTATCACTACACACCCTTGCAAAAAGTCCCTCTCCAGCATTCTTGTAGGTCCCCTTCAGGTACTGGAAGGCTGCTAGAAGGTCTCCCTGGAGCCTTCTCTTCTCCAGGCTAAACAATCCAAATCCAACTACTCAAAGCTCAAATGTACTGATAAATTCCTAGAAGGAAATTTTGGATTACCGACTGAGTTCTTAAAAAGCTAATAATAATTTTTGACCATCGTGTTTATCCCATTCCAGACAAATTCATCACGTTAAAGCTCTTTGTTAATGAGGGGAGTTAAGCCAAAGACAAATATGTCTAGCACATTTACATGTGTCATGCCTAAAAGCAGGAGTTCAGTTCCAGACCTACATTAGAAGTTTCTGAGCTCTGTAGATGTGTCATATAGCATTACGTAAACATAAAAGAACACAGAATAAATTCAGTCAATTATTTTCTTTTTCAAATGGAACAGCAATAAGCATCACTGCTGTTCATGTAAAAAGACTAAATTAATCAAATGTCTAATATGGTAAAAGAAAACAAGTAGGAGGGATTAAAGGGCCTTGTTTCTCCAGGATTTGAATTTCTTATTCACTATTGTAGAAGATGTCCCTCAGAGAGATAAAACACTATTTATTTCCTATGCATCTTTTTGTCAACTTTATTTTGACCGTCTTATTTTTTAAATCAATACTGCTGTTTCATTTCTAACATAGTAGCCTGAAAAAATTGCCAGTATGCAGTGAATAGATTTAAAGTGCAAACCATGATTTGTAGAGAGTTTGGGGTGTTTGGGGTGCTACTGTATTTTTTCCAGTTTCCTTTTAAAGATTAGGCTATTCTTTTTATTTTCAAGCTGATTTAAAAAAAGTTATTCCTGATTTCGTGTTCTGAAATTCTGCCTTCTACAGTTTGGTATCTAGCTTCTAGTGCCTTTGATCCTAGGAGGTATAATTCAAGTAAAATCAATAATCTAGGTCTCAAATATTAAATTACTCATATATTCTCCACCAGTTCTTAGCATGATTATTTTGATTTCCTGTGAAAAGTCATTCTGTCATGCTGTCTATGGAGCTGGGGCAAACGTATCAAGATAAGCATCTATCTCTGATGATGACAGCAAAGAGATAACACAGAAATTAAAATATAATATTTTTCCAGTTTGTCATGAGTTTATTTTTAAAATTTAGTTTTATTCTTGTCTATAGTGAAGTGTAGTAAAATAACTACAGTGTATGCATCTGTGTGTTTCAATGCTGCTTTTTGGTGTAGGATTTCTTTTTCTCCTTCCACTTCTGAAGGTATATTTGCATATTGCATTTAGCAAGGCTTACCTGAATTACAAGTGTTGCTGTATGCTTCTTGCCATACATCCTTGGCTTGAATCCCACCGTTATATGGGTTCCCACAGTGCCTGCTGGAAGAAGTTCTCCAGCTTGTGGCAACACAAGGAAGTCAGGATCGCTGCCCTCCAGGAAGCGTGCAGTGAATGGTTCTGGGTTCCTACAGAAAAGCATAAGAGGCTATTGTGGCTTTTATGGTTTCTTAATACAATTTATCTACAATCTGACTTTTATGCCACCATGTAACATGACTCAGGAAACTTGGCAGCCCTGGAACATACAGAGAATATTAATAGCATGCTTACAGAATAAATATTCTGTAGTAATTATTTACATTTATTTATAAATATTTATAATCTTTATGCACAGGGACCTCCATACTGGTCTTCCATTTCAAACATACTTATATGCTATTATAAATACTATAATAACTACAGAATAATTATAGTATTTGCCACTAGAAAGAAAAGAATCACTTGACCTGCAAAGATATAATAATAGTGACAGAAACAAATTCCATGTCAGAGTGAAAATCTATTTTTCCTATTAAAAGACCCTCACTTTTCCAATCTGACAAGCCACCCATTTTGTTAAGTTTCACAATTACAAATGAATATGCAATCTAGTGGAGTATTATTAGATTGGGAGGGAGTTCTGGAAGCCTTGAAATGAACATACAGAAAATAACAGTTTTTTATCACTGTTTTCCACATATTTCGTATCTCATAAACTAAACACTTTATGATATTGTAATAATAATAATTAGATTCCTCTATCAATATTATTGTATATCTCTTATTTCAAGGAATTTCTGTCACAGGTACTGCAGATCTTGTCTAATTGTTAGTCTTATAGAAGCACTGTTGCACCCAAGAAAATGTCTTATTCCTGCTAAAACACAGTAGCTGAGGACTACCAAACAATCTTAGGCCAATCCCAAACAGAAACTTGTCTACTACAAGTCCTCAGGGACTCCTTGCCATAAACCTTCTCAGCATGAAAAGAATATAAATTTTTGTATTTTGCAGTCAGGCATTCTCCTTTTAGTCTTAATATGTGTTGCTGAGGACAACTCTATCACTATCTGGACAGAAACAGAACAAATGAAATTGAAAGTAGAAATACAATGACATGGTCAAAAATAATCCACAACACTCTGCCACAGTACAGCAGGACAAGTATCACTCATGCTTAGAGGAAACTCATTTATAGTTGATAAAACTTGAAGAATGAAAAACTAACAGAATCTCAAAGAAAAGCTGTTTGAATCTGTTTATTCACGGATTGTCACACCAGAAATAACACTGCCTTCCAAAGAAAATACAAATAAGAGAAATTTAATATTTTATGAGCATTCATGTCTCTACAGAAATGTCCCACATTTCCTGGGCAAGCGCTATTCAGTGAGTGGTACATTTGGTTTATGCGTTGTTTAAAATTAACTCTCCTTTGGAATACGTTCTCAAGAAACGTTTTCTTAAATTCAAAATACCCTCATGAAAAGAGGTCACACTAATTTTGCAGAAACAAATAGCGCAAGTGCAGAAAATGGAAATCAAAAAGCTTCTGCCTCCCCAAAAAACCTGACATTTAGCAGTGCCATCAGACTCGGATGCATTAGCTTAGTTAGCCTAGCTTTTTCTTTAGGTGACAGCAATGTGTTCAAAACATGCTGAATGTCTGAAACTACACTTGTGTGATGTCTTGTGACATCAAACCTATGCCGACAATTTCTTTTCATGGTGCCTAAAGCTGTGCAGCTGAGTTTATATCCCTGGGCCATAAGCACTAATCCTGCTACAACCTGAGTTCCCATCTATGTGCCATCTAAGGCTTCAGTTTTCACATCTGTATTTCCCGCAAGGACTGCTAAGCTGTGAATGCCTAGAGCAAACCTCCTACACACAAAGGGCAGGCATGGGATGAAAAAGAAGTGATGCCTCTGGAACTGAGTAGCAGAGCAGAGCACTCATCAAACACCTCTGAGATGAATATTCAAACCCTGGTTCTGGAAACAGAGACCTGAACACAGGTCTTCACTTTCAACATCATTGCTCTATAGATTTAGGAACATTTTAGGGCAGCACTTTCTTTATCTCCTGTGTTCAGTCTTTTTTCTGGTAAGCAGATAGGGATGAGGACTCCTAATAAGCATTTTGTGTCTTCATAAGACATACAAGAGCGTGACTTAGACTAGAGATGCGATGATGAAATGCTAAAGGAACTGGGACAGGCTGCATGCAAGGAAGACACAAGAAAATAGCAACTTTATTCTTGCAGAAATTGCATCTGAGCAGAGTGTGAAGCAATGGTAGATTTTTTTCAGAGACTGTAAATGATTCCTCAAAATAGCTAGTCAGAAAACACACAGGAGAAAAAGCTTTAGTTTTAGTCCTGAGAAGGGGACCAGACAGTTTAAAATGAAACTGTCACAAAACTGATCTATAATTGTGTACACAAGATATTCGCCAAGTCAGAGGAAAAATCTTATTGCATCAACCTTGTCAGATTCTAATTTTCATGAAGAAAAGTGGAGAAAAAATACTACAAAGGCTTTAAAGAAAATCTGCATGCATCTTGACAGCATTGGCATGAGGTACTAGAGGCAGCTATAATTTTTTTCTGTATTGAGTAAAATATATAGAATCATAAACACATACACACTTACATGAACACATATAGCCATACCTAAAACCTCCCGCTCCGCTCCCCAAAGCTTGGAAGTTTTAAACAAAAGAGTCAAGTCATTTACTGGATGCAAAATGTTCCTGAAAGTGGGAGCTATGTCCAAATACGGAAAATAGAAATTCTGGCAAATTAAATGTATAGCCATGATAGGCCAGCAGGGATTCTGATGGCCAACAGTACAAAAACTAGCAACTAAAAACTTACTCACACACAATCAGAAACAGGATCCTTTCACAGTGCCTGTAGTGCTGATAAATCACAAATTTTTGTTTTGAAAATATATCTAAAGATGGCCTCTCAAGAAAAAACAAGCAGTGTTTTCACTGATGTTCACATCAGGGAGAGGATCTGGCATCCTGGCTAGCTTGCTAGCATAAGTAAATTGCTTGGCATTCTCATCTTCTATAGTACAGAGAAAGCTGAAGATAAAATTCCCAGAATAGCACCTGAATTTCCAACATTATTGTTTTCATAGTCTGTATACTTAGTGTATAATTAAAAATTAATAATTACATGGTTTAAAACTATTAAAAATTAATTCCCCCTTTTGGATTACTGCTTCAGGTAAAACAGCTCTGGAGTCAATGTTTGGCTTGTTATTGCTCAGTCATGAAGGACAGTGACGAGGCAGTCTATATTTTTTCGAGAAGGCTTTTGTTTAACTCCAGGGTGGCAGATACTAACATACTCGATAAAGTTTAATGATGTGTAGAGTTCTGAAAACACACACGAACCAAGCACAAATGAATTAGCAAACATAAGGGCAGAGGCTATATAAACCAAAGAAAGCAAATGTGTCTTCCCACCTGCGTGTTCCATAACTCCTGTCATGATGGTTTGATACTGCTATCAGACAATATGAACTCTGCCCTTACTCAAACAATGAACAAGAGTAAATATTAATTCGAATTGAAATAATAATTGGACAATAAAATCATGGCAACCAGGAAGAGTGGAAATTGAGCTAGTATTTAATAAACATATTTATAATTACTCCTTCAATCTTGTTCTTAAATAGCATTGTTCTTAAATAGCAGTCTGTGCTCATTAGCGTTCTCATGTTAGATAATTTTCAAATTAGTAAACTAAAAAAGAATAGCACCTTATGTTTTCAATTAAAGAAAACCTTAAAATTTATATTCCTATAAACATAGCACTGCAAAACTTACACAATAGCCAGCAAATTTAAAAATATGTCTTTATTAAATTAAAGCTCAAAATAGCTTTAATGTTGACTCCTCTCTTCCTCAAAGTAGTGAGGCAGTAAATTATTCCTGTAGAAATGTACTCCTTCACAACACTTAGCATTTTGTAAACTATACATAAAAAACAACACATAGTACTTTTGATCAAATGTAATTTTTTAAAATAAAAGAAGAATAACAAAATGTCTTCATCTGTAAAGTGTATGACTGGTTAAGCAAATAAAGAATATGATTTGAAAATGTTGCAATGTTCTTCCCAAAATAGTTAATCATAACTAAACCTACTTCTTGTAATTTGTAGTTAACATCTGCTGGATGACACAAGAAATTTCAGTTCTTACATAGGGAAGTTCTTTAAACTTGTTAACTGTATGCAGCTGTCAAATTCTATAAAATTATTAGTGATTGTTGGTATGATTTAGATAAATTCTTTTCAACAACAACAACAAAAAGACAAAAGCAACGCTGTTTTAACTGACCACTCTAAATCCTGAACTCTGGACATCAAAAGATTTCACTCCAATTATCACTCTATAGCTTTGGAAAGACTGTTTCAGAATTAAAGGTCTTTCAAAAAAATATGAAGAAACACTGCATGACGAATGACTGTCAGGGAATGCTTTACCAAATATAACATCACTTTTGTTGTGTACATGTTGTAAAACTAAAGCAGGAGCTAGGGTTTTTATCTTCACAAAATGTTAAGATTTCTGTCTCATTCCTGTTCTACCCAGGGATACTATATTCACAGATTGGTAAATTGACTTTTCCTGCTTAAAGCGCTCCAGGTGACATGGTTAGACATAGCTCCTGGTTACATGTGTGACATGTCAGGCACTCTATTATTAGGAAGGATAATCATAATTTTTTGGAAGTTCTGCTGCATGTGTACCATTATCGATATTTTCCACTAGTCTCCATTCAGACTCTAAAAAACGGAGCTCAGTCAAAATTTGTTCTTCGCAGTTGCCACTATGTGGGAGATGCTAAGATAAAGTATTCTAATTACATCTTTAGATTAATGGTAGAATTTTGCAGAATTGCTAACAAAGAGATAGGCATAGGAATCCAGGCCTTTAACATGCACAGCGACGCATGAGAGAGGGTGAGGAGAGGGTTCATGTGCTGATAACTCAATGAATGCATTATCTTGCAGCATATATAATTCTGGCTCATGGTAATTCTAATGAAATATAGCAGTAAACACAATAAAATAGAAATATTTCTCAAAGTTGCAGCTGTAAACATTTTTTTGCTTTTCCCTTTAAGATTAGGGAGGATACAGAAAAAAAATTGGTTGCTTGCTATTCTTTAGACAGCATTAAAATAATTTTTGTATAATCAAGGAATGTTTTTAATTGAGCATTTATTCTATGCACTAGGAAATGCGCATAGGAGAAATAAGGAAAATATCCATAATGGTGTTCAAAATATGAAATGTAGGTTAAGATAACTAGGTCTGCACATGCAGTGATATTAAAGCCTAATTTCATGTTGCTTCTCATCTCTCCAGTCCACCTGTTTTTGTTTTCACTTTATTCTAGGTCGGTTTCCATAATCAGATGGAGCCTTGGATTTTGCAGATACAACTCCGTGAAGACCACATTGATACCACACTGTTTGCTTTTGTGATAGCAGGCACTGACTAAGTGTGTTTTTCTGAAGCACAGTTTGAGTTTATCTGAGAAGTTCCCCCAATGTATCAAATATCCTATTTGTGATAAACACAGGATTGGAATGAGAGGTTGGGATGGAAAGATGGACAAAGTTTTACTGTATATGGGAAGCAATACAGGATTAAAACAATCACTAACAGGTACACAGAAAGCTAGAATTACATTGGTGAAAGGAGGTTCTGTGTGTGAGAAACACGCAGATAGAATGAACAGGAAAGAATTATCCACCATCTTGATTAAAGATTCCAAAGTAATGTACCTTACAAAAAATTTTCAAGTGAACATAGCATTCATATGTATCTATCCACATGTTTTATGTTGGCTACTGCAGTATTGCACTGGAAAACAAATAAGGTAACATTCTGCTGTAGCTGTATTTTAATGTGAAGAAATAAATCCAGCCATTAAAATATACCTGTACTGGAATATATAGTAGTAAATATTCTCAAAAAAACACAGTTTTGTATTAATACAATTGTTCTGATCCCAAAACATAATAGAATAAAAATACATTAAGAAGTTCTTTTCAGTAAGACAAATACAGAAAGGATTAGTTTTCTTAAGCAAAATATCACTTCCAGAATTTTTAGTCTCTTTTTCAATTACAGACAGCAGCATAAAATAATAGATCAATAATTTGAGCTGGATATCAAACAAGTTTTTTAATTCTTATTTCCAGGGATAAGATTTTATCTGTTCTCTTTTGTTAATAACTGCTGTTGTTCTGTAAACCATTGGAATTCAATAATCTGTTTGGAATTAAAACAAACACTAACATTAATGCAAACATTAGAGGCTTGTACCAAAGCCAATTACCTAAGAGGAAAAGTTGCCAATGATTTCAGCTGGTGTTGAATTAAACCTACATTTATGATAAAACCCAAAGAAGGTCATCTCTGAACGTTGAAAAATGACATATTTTTCTTATTTAACAAGTGAAATCTGCTTATTTGACTTTAACCAGTCTTAATGCCATTACAAGAAACCACTCAACAATATGCCCCTTTTGAATTTGTAAAGCTGAAAGTAAAATATTGGACTACTTATATATGACAACTGTCCTAGGTGCAGACAGGTTTTAAAAATATATTTGAGTTTTCTTCTTACAACAAAACTGCTTGGCTGAATTCTCAGTGTCTTTCATTATTTATTGAAGGAGATATTGGGCTGTTTCTCACTGGGGGCATGTGTGTTTGTCAATTTTAAATGTATTAAAAGAGAGAGTGCATTACATATTTGCATGGACTCTCAGAGCTTTCATTACTGCAGATCACTCTGAGCAGCATAGCAACTACCTTCCATTTGTAACTGTTCATTGTTCCTGAAGCAAGTACTTCAAATATAGTTATCAGTAAACTGGAACATCATTAATTCAGTCTGAAATATTTCATACACATTGAGGATTTCGCTGGGGAGGAATGGAATTAAAGGAAGAAGCACACATTTGAAATGCAGTAGCTGTAAAGAGAAAGAAAGCTAAAATGATTGACCTCATAGCTTTGTCGTGGTCACCAAAGGTGCTCTGTGGATCCTCATTCAATCTGGTACATATGAGAGAATCCTAATCTGTCCTCACTAAGATACTGAGCCTTTTTTGGGGACTGTGGTTCTCAAATAATTTTTGTCACTAGCCCAACAAGATGTACAGGTCTACTCAGTGATGCTGTGCAGCCACACTGCCCCGCAAGTAGCAGAGGGAGAAAAAAACACAGCAGCAGAGACCCTTTCTAGCAGGTTACTCACAAATACATCCCTGTTTCTCCCCCAGTTACTCTCAAAGTAGCAGTGCCATGAGTTACTAACCGGCATAAGAAAGGAAGACAGAAAGTATCTGTATGTAGGGTGAAAAAACCTCTACCTCTCTTTAAGTACTAGAACTGATTCTCTATGGGATTATGATTCTAAATGTTTACTTAAGAAAAACTCCAAAGGGCTGATCATTTTTTTTCAGGGAAGGTCTATAGGATGACACTCCATATCCCAAATGAAACTTTTAATCCATATTTTAATATTTCATGGTTTTATTTTTAATTTAAGTCATTTGAGCTATTCAAGCATTAAATTACATCTGTAATATATGGATTTCTTTTGTAATTACTTTTAAACTGCAGATCCTGTATGCTAAATGTCAGTTGGCTCACTGTTCTATTTCTATAACAAAAACTGAACCACCAAAAGCTCCTAAGCAAATCAAAGATAAGATAAAGCAATATAAAACTTACAGAGCAGTTGTTGGCACTATTTAAAACACAGAGCTTGTTCAGTACATGCAAGCATTACATTTTGTTTTTGAAATGTATGGGGGGAACTCTTTTTATGTAAAATAAAGTTGGAATTTGTTTAAGGCAAAAAGGGAATCTGTCTTCCATCATGGCTCCTTCTTTTTATAACTATAATGATTCAGGTTTTATAATACCTTTCTGGAGAACGTTCGGTCTCTTCACTACTATCAAACACCTACCAGGAGATTACAGTATTGCCAGAGCAATTGCTTCACTTTTGTTCCTGAAACAGCCCATTCTATTGAAACTGTTAACTTGAACACTGTGATAGGCGCCTTTTTCAGAGTCCTCAGTAATGATCATCACTGACAGCCATCTCAAAGCTGGAACAACTGTCCATCTTAGATGCACAGCTTTTGGAAATAAGCTCTTAAAAAAAATCAGTTGGAACCAAGGACACTTCCTGATGAGGATGCTACAAAAGCATGTATCTACAATGAAAGTTAACTATCAATCAGATTATTTCAGGTTCACTGTTTACTATGTTAAAACTTATCTATCAGTACCACACAATTTATTCTTTCACTTTCTGCTGTAGACAAATGACATTATGAGTTTGGTATAACATTTTGAAACTCTGTGAAAATAATGAAAAGTATGTAAAAAATATATTAACAGAGATTTCTGCAGGACTTTTAAAAAAAAGTAACAAAATACCGAAGAATGACACAATTATTTTATCTAGTGAGGAAGCAGAGTAGAGATGAATACATAACATGCTTATATAATAAAACAGGAATACTTTTAAAAGTGACATATTTAAAAATTTTTAAAGCAGAAGATTGTTTTTAACTTGGTGTAAGTATAAAGTACTTTGAAAAACAACCTATTAGTAAAAACTTTAAGGCTTTAATAGTGAGCCTTTAATATCACAACATACTTCTTTAACATTGTATTATGCATTTTAACACATAAAAGCATTTTAGGGCTAAACTTTAAAGCTGTAACATAAACATTTGGATCTATTCCACAAATTTTCTCATGAGGGGCTACAGCCTGAAAGTAGAATGCTTCTGTTTTCTCCAGCACAGCTTCAAAATCACATTTGTTACATATACAAAGCAGCACTTGAAACTAATGATGTGTTAGGGAAATAGCTGCAGCCCAGTTATGTTTCTGTTGCCCATATCTACCCTATATGATGTATTCGAGTGTGAGTTCTAGCCTCAGAAAACTTCATAAATACTTTATCATAAGTATTGTTACCTTGTCGGGCTTGTAAGCTTAAAGCCAACTATAGATTCTTTATTCAGGCCAACTGCTTCAATGTTGATGACATCATCCACTTCTGGCTCTGTAGCAATGAACAGCATGGGAAACTTCCAAACACCTCTTGTAGCGCACTGTACTACGAGAGTTGCTTCATTCCTTAAAATTTCAGATAAAAACATTCGATACACAGAACAACATTATAAAACATAAACTTTGTAAAGTAATGTCCAAAATAAGCTTGAAGTGTCTAGAACTATACTACGGTAAAATGAAAATACAGATGGTTTTAAATTGGAATACATCCTTAATTTTTTGTAGCATAGTGCATATCAGTTGCACTTAGACTGGAATGTAGACTAAATAGCACTTGATATTTACAGCAAAGTACAAGAAAGGACATAATATGAAAGTAAAATGACGAGCACATGCATGGTATTTGATTCTTCTTCTGCTTACTCTCTGCCGAGTAAAACTTGTTTAACTCACATTTATTTTACACGTTATTCTTTCTATAGTGTGGTGTTGGAGGAGAATTTGGTCCAGAACATGTTAGCAGCTCACATTAGAATCAGATAGATCTGATGAAGGTCTATGTACTTTAGAAAAATTCCAGACTCTGATGTCTTCAGACCATCTGAGAAAAGAGTTGGTGCTGTAGATTCTGAAGATAAACTAATTAATTTGCATCATTGAGTTCTCTACATGAAGCCTGATAGGTCTCAAGTACACAAAGATAAAAAACTAAACGAAAATAAAAAACCAATAAAATAAAAAAAGGCAGAGTAGAAATAAAAAGCATTTCTAAATTAACCTTCCCTCTGACAAAGTGACACTGCTTGGGATGGGTGGATAGTCTTTCTAAAGGTTTGCTCTTTGTTCAGTTCCCTCCTGTGTCCTAAAAATATCCTCTTTGCATGCAACCCATAGTATTTAGCAGTGACTGCTCCCTAATCTTCCTGGTAATGTTGAGCCTCTGAATTTATCATGTGCCTGCATCTTACTGAAGCTTCTTTCCTCCCCATACACGTTTGACTGTTTCAAAAAGAAGGCACAACTTCCCTATCTCTCCAAAATGACCTCCCTTTCACTGTTTCTTTTTAAAGAAGTGGGATGTACTAATGTAAATGAAAGCAAATCCATCATTTTTCACATCTCAGCTATAAAAGAGGATAATATTTTCCTGTGGACTGTTGTTACTGAAGCACTAGAGACTAATTTCAAATTCAACCATCCCATCCAGCCAAAGAATATGCACATATGCTTGTCTAGGAAAAGTTTTTCAAGGCTGACAAACCATCTTGTCTGTATGCTCTCTGTGAATTTTGAGAAAAACTGATTTTCACTGGAAGTCTTTCAATACTCTAATGTTTAAAAGTAAATTGATGCACACATAGACTAAGACACTAACTCAACAGAATCATCTAGCAGGTGTTAAAAACAAACAGTCAGTTTTAAGACCAAAGATGTCATACTGAGAAGTAGCAAGCGAGAAAATCTAAAATAATAGATCTCAGAGATGAAAACAAAATGAGGAAAACAGTGCAAGGAGATGCTTACAGAGCTAAGAGCGAACAGATAGGATTTTATTGCATGTTCTGTTGGTAATAAAGAACAGGAGCTTACCTCATCGGTTTGTTAGGTGCAAACACTATATTAAAGATCAGCGTTACGATTCCAGATTCTGTATCACGTTCTCTTTGAATCAGATGCATACCAACCAAAGCTCCAAGCTGAGATTTAACTTCATTTGATTGATATTGTAATTCATACAGAAATTCCACTGCTGTAGAGAAACCGAAACGATAAAAGAGAAAGATCAGTCTGTGTGTGCTCTAACCTCACACAGTTGGCTGGCCAGCAGTTATAATTCTTCCATTTGTTACCAAAAGACACAAATAAAACTAGCAATTATCCAAAACTTGAGTGATTTACTTCTGACTGTATAGCAAAATCTTCCAATTTCGTATGACAGGCTACATAGTTTCAGGCAAAATGGAAGTTGGAGAACATACTTAGGAGAAGTGAACAGTACTAGCAACATTGTTCTAGTTACCACTTATGCATTAGGGTGAAATATTTCGACTTCATTAGCCAAATGAAAATTGCAAAAATGTAATACTGCTTTTGAGTAATGCCATTGGGACAATCTCAAAACCAAAAAAGTCATTAAGGATGTCAGCGTCATTGATGGCTGCAAGTCTACAGAAAAACAGTGAAGATGTCACTAGCAGCTTCTTCTCTTATTCCCTGTAGCAGCTTTGAAAAGGCCAAGTAGTATTGACATAAGAATGAACAGCTGAGCTTTTTGAATCAAATGTCTCCTCCAGCCATAATAAGCAAAACTGTGATATTCAGTATACAATAGTAATTTGTGCACCGAAGGGAACATTTCCATGAGGAAAAGAATCTCAAACTGATAATCTATTTAGAAATTTTACGCAGTTTATGGATGAAAAGCCTTTTAACACAACCACTAAATCCTACAGGAGATTTCATTTTACTATGACCACATATCTGAGGGTACCTTTTGAATTTACACAGCTTAGTACAACGTGTTGTGCAGAATTCCTATGTATGCATCCCTGCATATGCTGGCTATAGGTTGCCAGTCAACTGCAAAGTTAATTCCCAAGGCCTTCCAACTTGGAATTCTAAAATAGAGACTACATTTATTTTTATATAAAGTCCAAGAAACAATGTATTGTGAGATATTTGAACAAAATCTTACTTCATTTTCGTCAATCTGTAATGCTATCAAGTGTCAGTGAGCATGGAGATGCCTTCTTATGATGGCAGTCCTTTCCCCTATTCTGAAATGCAGAGATTTCTTCTTTCTACTTCATTCAACTTCTGTTGCCAACGTTTTTGTAACACCCAGATTAACCCCAAGAAATGTGGTGGCTTATAATGAAACATTACCGACTCTTTAAAGTGGATCCTTCATATAGCTGTCTGTACAGTTTAGGCTGGGTCAGAGTTACACAGACGTAGGCAAAATATTATTACCAATATATGGGATTATTGGTCAGTAGATACACACTGAGTACCGAATATACAGATTTCCATGTATTAAACCATCTACTACAAATGTACTTTATTACAAGAAATGTAATTTTTTATAATGAAATTAAACATGAACATTTTTCCTATGGTTTAGAAAATTATTGGGATCATCCTATATTGTTCGATGCTTTGTTGTTCCTCTGTTTAAAAATATGTTTATGCCGTGCATTCAGATTCCAACACAGCCCAGGCTTGTAGTAGTCACCCTAGACAAATGCCAAAAAATGAGGATTCAGACATAAAAATTAACTTATTATGGAAGAGAAAAGAAGACATCACTTGGAGCATTCCACAATGAGAAAATTGCAACTGTTGAGCAGATGTTTCTTTCAGCAGTTATACTGCACAATGCTGCTTAAGAAAAGCTTATTTTGTAGTTCAGATGCTAGGAAGAAAATGTGAATTGCATGTTGCTTTTAGCATCCAAAGACATTTAGGTTTGTTTTGACATATGTATATAGTACCTTCTCGTCAGAAGCAATTAAATGTTTCAATTTTTTCTGCTCTGGGCTCGTTTGTATCCTGTTCTATGTTCATATTAAATATTTAGCTAAAATATTTTAATATTTACAACACCTAAGGAAAAATGGTGCATTTATAACTGCCAATATTTGAAAGCTTCGTTATGCTGGTCCCTTAGCTGGTTTTGATCTGCACTGCTGATCTAGTTTAAGACTGTTCAAAACGGAAAATGTAATTAGATTTTCATCACATCTGCCCTGAAGACTACTGTATTATCATACTACGGGAAGCGTCTGTGACTATGTTAATATTTGATTCTAGACAATTCCATAATACACATGCTTCCTAAACAAACTGGTAGAAGCTAGATGCAGAAAAAAAGTTGCGAATCATTACTAGAAATTTGTCCAAATTGTCGAATGCTCAGAGTTCTCTTAACTCTTAGAATTTTCAATTACAACGGTGAAATAAATAAAACATTGGAGAAAGAATTAACATTTTCTTTAATGTCAAATACAATATAGTGTACAATTCCAATAAGCCTGACTCTTAAAAGAACCCAGCTTTTTGAATGCTTTCATTAACTATTTTTGGTTTTAAAAATCACCATTTTAATACAGGTAAATTTTTTATCTAATGCAGATTGTAAAATACACATGCAGCTATAAAGTATACTCTAAACCACCTCTGTTCTGAAAATAGAGAGCAGCAGGGAGAGTTTTAACCACATCTGACTCAACATAGAGATATTTATCAGTCCAAATACTGGGAAGATATAAGCATGCTATTTAAATACAGTTTGCTACCTCTAGGGAATAGAAATTCCAATTATAAAAAATATTACTTCCTCATATTTCATGAAGAATATTATGTATTATTTAAGTTAGAAAAGGAGTAAGAATATATTTTTGAGGTAATTATAACAAGACGATCTTTTTTAAAGCATTAAACATTTCTTGTTTTAAAAGGCAATTAATCTCAATCTTTAAATGTTTTCCTTTATCTAAATAAAGACTTCCAGAAGGTACTACTCATTTAGGAAACGTTTGTGTATGCAGAATTACTGAAGCAGCTATGTTTAAAAACCAAGAAGGTTTTTGAGCGATACAGTTCTATGACTTGGCTCTCATGTGTTTTCAAGTGTTAGTAAGGATACTTCTTAAATAGCACCAGAATTAAAGCATTGAGGATTTATTTGTTTGTTGTTTTTTTTAAATAGACTCTAAGAAGATCAAAGGAAATAGACCACTTTATTTATTTATTTATTTATTTTCTGACTCATAAGAATAATAGTGTGGAAACTTCAAGGATTTTACACTCAGAGCACGTAAATTGGGCAAATGTGAATTTTTGTGACTGTTAGGAATTAGTGTATCTATATCTAAAAGTCAAGTCCAATAGGTTCACGAAATAAGAACCTCAGTAATTTAAACGACTTTTTAGTGGAAAAGAACCCATATTCGAGCTTTAAAGGAGTTAATTACAAAGGTACTGATGAGCCTAACACATATAGAAGGTAATGTGAAAGGCCCACTGGATATATTTGACCTGCAAAAGCCTTTCGCATCGTCGTTAGCGAAGCCTTTGTACCTCCCTATTTTTGAAAAGCTGTTAAGTGTTTTGACTTCACTGACAACCAGTTCATTATACAATGTGTATTCTGATGATCAAAATCTAATGGACACTGGCCTGTGAGGCTGCAGTCTCTTGTGGATACCTAAAGGAGACCTAGCTACCCGAGCTCTCTGCAAATAGTGCTTAACCTGCAGCAGACTTTGTGACATAAAAACGGAAAGGGGAAGGAACTCTCTAAGGGACCTCCTTACTTTCACAGTCTCTCATTTCCAATGAGACAGGTGGAAATAAAGCTGTGATGAGAAAGGTGCTCAGACTTCAAAAAATGCTCATCCTCACTTTAGAGGTTTTTCCCTGGATTGATAAAAAAACAAGGGTGTAAGTGAATTCTTTCAATTGGCCTTCCTCACCTCCCATTCAGCAGGCTGCAATCTTGTAGCTGATTAATAAAGGAGGTCAGCACAATCACAGAAAACACAGAATGAAAGCCCAGCCATTCATAAACTTGCAGCTTCATGTTTTTCAAAAGCTGGATAAATTATTTTATTTGGTGCTGAATATAAACATATTGCACTCTCATCGATTTTTTCCCACTGGTTCTGCTAATTCTGCAAGGCTAAGTATTCATTGTGGCCACGACACCAATCGCACCTAGTTGTGCTATTTCTCAGTATCTTAATCTAAATCACTAGGCAAATAAGCATGTGAGACTTTAAACTGAAGAACTTCAGCCAGAAGATTGTCCCATACAAAACCAGATTTTTGTGCTTTGAAAACATGGCCCCACATACTCAAAGCCGCCACTCAGTAGCTCTGCAAATTAAAAAAGCACACTACACAACAAACATAAACACAGGTGAAAGGGATAAGATAAACTTGCCATCTCAGATGGAGTGATTCTCTGTACTTCTTTCTATTTGTAAGGGGATATGGGAAAAAGAAAAATTTCATAGCAAATATTCCTCACCTGTTCATATGAAAGTATGCTTCTTATAAATGAGATAGAAAGAACCTATGTCTTACATCACATAAAAATAACCTTTTTTTGTAACTTTCCTGATATAATTTCAATTCTATTATCTGTGCTGTGATATAACCTTTGATTTGTTGATCACACATGAATTTTTCAATGAAAATTAACAAAAATGTAAATTTATGCACATGAAACTCCGTACTGATTCAGATAAATTGTTTCTGGTACTGTCACTACCATCTGTAAGCATGCCTTAGATAGTTTTACACTACACTGTGGTCTATTACAAAAGAATGCATTTTTTACCTTTTGACTTTTTTTCAGATACAAAACAGAATTAGCCACAGAAACGAGAACACAAGACCTAATCACTAGGGTCACATTCATTTGCTTCCTTTTTCTTATCCAATGAATTGCATTCAATTGTACATAAAGTGGAACATCTATAACACAGGGGAGTGTAAATTCCTCCACTATAAGACAGCTGTAATCTTATGGGAGGTATCTACTTATTTTTATTATTTTTTGACTTATTTGTTATTTTTTGAATACAAATCAAGTTTCAGAACTAATAAGTTTGAGTAGTAAATTTCTGAGGTTTCACTCTGTCCTCCTCAGCTGGCTTGAAGAAAGAGTAATGGTTCAACGTTACAATTTCATTCAATGTTCTGTGGTGATTCTATGTAACTTCTAGTTACTGATGTTATAAT